GCACAAGATAAGCATGGCGGCCATACACAACAGCCGTAATTGGAGGTAACACAATCTTCCTAGCTCTGCTGAGCAACCTTATTGTATTGCCAAGCAGCCAATTACTGCTGTTGTGCTTCTAGCTGAGTCTAGCTGTTCTAGATGGAATCTACAGCAAGGAGAAAGATGATTTTCCACCGAGAGATTTTTGCATTCTGCAAGTGTTTCATGCCCTCCAACCATCAGTGTGGCATAGTGCCCGGGCTGGTGTAGTGGTTAGAGTGCTGGACTAGGACCTGGAAGACCATGGTTTGAATCCCCACTTCAGCCACAAAGCTCACTAGGTTACCTTGAGCCAATCGCTCACTATCAGCTTAAACTACCTCATGCAGACCTTCCAAGTGTTGCTATTTTCCAGGAACAGTCCTGGATTTACAGAAGCTGTCCCGGTTTCTGATTTAATCCCAGAATGTCCCACTTTTCCTTAGGACGTCCCTATTTTCATCGGAGAAATGTTGAAAAGTATGCCTCATGGGGTTGTTGTGAGTATAAAATCTGGAGGAGATGTATGTCATATATAAATAATGTAATATAAAAAATAACTAATAATACGATAGGTCAGTGGTTCCCAAACTTCTTTTCCCTCACAGAGGACTTGAAAATTGCTCAGGGTCTTGGTGGACCTCTTAATGATTGTTCTGCCTGTTGTAGCAATTGTGATGCACTGTGCTAGATACTAAACTATTTTTAATTGTATTTTCATTGCTTCTTTTATTTCTTATATTGTATTCTATTGCATTGCAAGTTGCATGCTACAGATTTTAGATTGCAATGCAATAAAATACAATATAAGAAGCAAAAAAGGAAATAAAGCAATATAATAGAATTAGAAATCAGAACGAACATTTAATGTGCACATGCTGCGGACCACATGAATGAAGCTTGCAGACCACTAGTGGCCCATGGACCACAGTTTGGGAGTCTTTGAATCCCACACCACCTAATATTAACCTCCATGTTTTAACAACAGCTGAAGGAACAAAGGGAACTGCCTTATGCTGCGTCAGACCATTGGTATATTTTGCTCAATATTGCCTACACTGACTGGCAGTGTCTTTCCAGGGCTTTAGGCAGGAGTCTCTCCCAGCCCTACCTGGAGACCCAGGGATTGAACCTGGGACCTTCTGCCTCCAAGGGGGCTGCTCTGCCCCTGAGCTATGGCCCTTCCCCCTGTGTTTCATTTAGCACCTGCTCCTCTGTCTCACCTTTCTCCCAAACGATGCTACCTGCCCTGCAACACGGGGTTTGTAATAACAGGCTTGTCTTTCTGGCCTCTTGTATGGATTGCTCTGATTTAATGAATTTGATTTGCTCTGGACACTTGAACTTGCTATAGTTTATTCTCAGCCTGGGATAGCTCAGTTGGTAGAGCCCCAGACTCTTAATCTCAGGGCCATGGGTTCAAGCCCCACGTTGGGCAAAAGATACGTGCATTGCAGGGGGTTGGACTGCATGACCCTTGTGGTCCCTTTCAACTCAGAATTCTACGATTCTGGGATCAATGTGCATAGCTGCAACATACCTGTTGGTGGGCATTCAAACTACTAAGTTTGTAGTACTTCATGCTAGCAGTGTAAATAATAATAACAATGATGATGATAGACATATGGGAGCTAGCTTTCTGTGGGCAAAATGTGCTATACGAATGTCAGATGGTCTTCAATTACCTTCGTTGGTTCATTTTGAATACCGAATTCTGAAGAGCGCCACTGCCAGTCTCAGTGAATATCAGGCTGATCTAATGCTGCTGACAAGCCAAATTGTACTTATCGTGCATTTAACGTCTTATGTCCTGATCAAACATCTGGACAGCACAGTTAATACGGCGCCTGCTTAGTAGGTTAATAGATAATTCATTTTTAGGTTTTTAATTCTATTTGGTCATGGAGGTTTCAAGATAAGCTGTGATGCATTATTATTATTATTTCTTCTCTCAAAAGTAAAAAAAGAATAACAGTGCAAGGTAAAAATCTCAATACAAACTCAAATAAATCCACTACCCATCCTGGGCAAACTGCATCCAACACTAAATATTTTCCTATTTCATCTCCTTTGGCTACCTCTGCCCACTGTGTTGTACATCCAGTATTCTGTTGAATACCCAGCCTCCTTCATGTACTAAAGTGGTACCCCTCTGTTTGTTTCTGATGCTTCTGTCTCTTTACCTTGTTCCTGATCCTCCCTCTCTAATTTAAGCTCCTCAATTCCCACCTCCTTTAAATACACTGAAGGAAGTAATCTTCAAATACGTGAACAGGCTTTTTTGGCCATGTGTGCATTACTGGCTTAAAACGCAGTGAGGTTGTTCTTTTCTTTTGGCTGCGTTTCAAAACTGTGTTTGTACATGGTTGTACAGATCAGCACGGTTTTCTGTGTATCTTAAGCTGCCTGCTGTATGTCCACACCAGGAAGCAGGGATGTATTCAGCCAGTGAGCAGGTCTCGATTGGGATCAAAACTGGTTTGGTGCATCAGAATGCAGTATTTCACAAGAAACAACAGGGTGGATGTGGATTGGGGTTGTTGTCATGTGCACACGGCTTTCCAACCCAGTGGTGGGGAGAGCACTAGATGTAGAGTAAATGGGAGTGTGTAGACAGCCTTACTCTGCTGCTTCAGAAGCCTAGGGATTGATCAAATCGGCTTCATTTACAGGAGGATAGGAGAAATATGTTGACAGTAAGAGCAATTCGACAATGGAGTCAATTACCTAGAGCAGGGGTAGCCAACATGGTGCCGTCCAGTTGATGTTGTACTATAGTTCCCATCAGCAAAGATGGCCAATGGTCAGGAACGGTGAGAGTTGTAGCCCAGTTGGAGAGCACCATGTTGGCTATCCCTGACTGGAGGTTTTCAGCCACCTGCCAGCAATGCTCTATTGATGGATTTCCAGCATTGAGCCAGGGGGTTTAGTGGCCCACTTCCAGGAGTCACCTGGAGCAGCTGAAATTCTCCACACCTGTTCCTCAGGTGTGCCATCATTTCTTGGCTCCTGGTCCTGTGCCTTCACAGTCGCAACTTGAACTGCAGATATTACCAAACCTTTCTTACCATGAGAAGCCTCAAATCATTCTTGATATATTTATTTATTAAATTTGTATATCACCCTTCACCCAAAGATCCCAGGTTCACAACAGAAAAAAATACAAAACCAGGACATAAAATATTTAATAAAACAAAACAAAACAAACAAACAAAAAAAAACCACCAATAACCCCCCTCTTCATCTCAGGGCAGCTCACAAGAATATAATAAATGGAATCCCACCTAACTGCATGAAAATGTCCCTGGTCTTCCTGACCTTAGAAATGTGTAATTTGTGAGTTATGTTATGTTGAAGCCCTGTAGTGTCCTCCATTTCTGAGCCAAAGAAATTATTGTTGCAGCCAGCATCCATGTCAAAAGTTCCTTAGTTTGGTAAAATTGTTGTTGGATCATCCCACAAGTTCAAAAGGGCAGCCTGTGGGGAGGCTTGGATGGGGCATTTAACTTTTTTTAAATATTCCTCCGAAAACATTGGCCCGAAATTCAGATGCCAGAAGTACCTGAGTTGTATTCAAGGGCAGCCCTGTATTGAGCAGGGAGTTATGAAAGCATGAGTCAGCATTGAAAAATCCTCTCTATTCAAGAAGGGATGAGTCTACACAATAAACACAGAAGATAAAAAGCACTTCTGGCCCCCACAGCAAACCTGTTTATTGAAAAGCAGGTCAAGCAGGACTCTTAGGCTCTGTACCTGTAGTTGGTTAAGTAATTCTAAGCCTTCCGATTCAATCAAGAACATTCTGCAAAGGGAGCCAATTCCACAAATGGCTCATAAATCTAAGTGACTAATATTGGATTGCATCCGGTGTTTGTCATACGCAGAGTAGGTAGGCCCACTGAAATCAATGGGCAGGAGAAGTCCTGTGGATAGCTCAGTTGGTAAAGCATGAGATTTGTAATCTCAGGGTTGTGGGTTTGAGCCCCACATTGGGCAAAAGATTCCTACATTGCAGGGGGTTGTACTAGATCACCCCCCTGGTCCCTTCCAACTCAACAGTTCTATGATTCTATGACTAATCAAAGTCCATTGATTTCAATGGGTCTGTTCAGAGGAGATCTTAGCTGAATACAACTCCTATTAGAGTACTGTGAAAGTTGTGAAATCTGCTTGATGCAGATTTATGTGATACTGGCAGCTATTGACAATGGCGGAAACAAAACGGAATGGCTCTCTTCCAGCTTAACATCTCATGTCGAGCAACACATGAGCTGATGATGATTCAGAGAAAGCTTAAGAGTCGACTGGGAGCTTGTTGTGATGTTGTTTTCAGACTGTAATGGAGAGACTGAATAGGTTAGACTGGGCCAACATCTGTGGGATGGGTAGGAGTACACAAGCTTTTGAAATGAAGAACGGCACAAAACATAAAGCATTTGCAGCTATCCACTAATGTATAACAGCCCACTAAAAAGCTATCCTTTTTACTCCTGGTACTAATAACCAGAGCAAGTTTGGCACTCGTTATCAGAACCAACTTAGTGAGATGGTTGGTGTGTATGGATTTAACAGTGTTTAGCTGAATTTTTTTTTTAGGTGCTATTTTGTTAATGTTGTTAACATCACTTTATAGAAATGCTATATTGATTTGTTAATCATATTATATGACCCATGCTGTAAATGTCTTGTTTAGCTTATTTTATGGTTGCTGTTTTGTTACTAGTGTTTTATAGATTGCAGTTGTTTTATTCATGCTTTGTTAACTATTTTATATGATTTATGCTGTATTTGTGATTTTCTATTACGTTTCTGTTATTTACTGTTTGTTAGTATCCTAGAAATACAGTACATCAAATCAAATAACTATAGCTTTTCATAAATGCAATTAAGATTCAGCACTACATTCCCGCCATTTTTAACAGTGAAAGGAAAAGTGTTGAATCTATGTGAATTAATGGCATTTCTTATTCTTCTTCCAGGGGTGTTGTGAAAGTGGACATAAACTTACAAAAAGTGGACATTGACCAATGTTCAAATGAGGGCTGGTTTTCAGGAACTCACACATGCCACTTAAATAGCTCCGAGGTAAGGAAACGTACCTTAATCTCAATGAATGATGTGTTCTACCATGTTTCACTTTGATTTCCACATTGCAAGTCTTAAACTTATTTTCCTGCTTTTTAAATGGGAATAAGCTTCCCACACAAGATGGACCGTACAAGCTTTCAGTGGCAGCGAACTGTAGAACAAAGTAACTTTGTGGTTGGCAACTGCTGTTCCTTCACCCAAGCCATAGAAGGCTCCTGTAATAAATGGGCTGAACTTTCTGTTTTGGGCATATATCTAGTAATCACTTTCAAATGCATGGGCACAAATATATGTGCATGCACACCCACCCACATGATTCATGTACAGCCAGCCTTGTGGCCCTTTATTTCAGTGCTAAACATACAAGCAAATGCATATAAAAAAACCCCAACAACATACGTAGGAAAATAATAGCTTGGTTTAATGTAACGCTAAGCCAAACTACGGCTTAGTGAGAACAAGCAAGTACGCTGGTACACATTGGGAAAATTGTGGCTACTTTGCTCCTCGCATACTCTTGCTGCTGCTCTATCAGGAGCTAAGTCATGATTTGGCTTAGTGTTATGTGTGAACCCAGGCTTGTGTTGTTTTAAGCAAACCTCGTAATCGAGGTTTGTTCTTGGCTTACTGGTCGTGGTTTGTTGGGGGAGACAAACCATGAGCTCAGATTTGCATGTAATGCTGAGACAAACCATGGTTTAGCTCCTGGTAGCAGTGCATTTAATTGCATGATTATATACATATTTGATCATAACTAAACCCTACTGAATTCAATGATATTTTCTCCCCTGGGGCCAACATGGTACCTCCAGATGTCGATGGACTGCCACCTCCATCATCCCTGACCATTTACTAGCAGGCGTGGGCTGCTGGGAGCTGCATTTAGACAACATCTGGGGTGGTACCTTGTTGACTGCTCCTGATCTATAGGATTCTAACCACATGCCTGGGTTGGACCTTGAATGTAGTAGGCATGTATTTAAGTTACGACTTTGGATGCATGACTTGTTTTCAGGAGTATGCTTGTAGTGTGTGGCCTGATTCTGCTTACTTGGAAGTAGACATTGTGTTTAAGAGTACTCCCCTCCTAAGCAGGAGTGTAGCATATTCAGCGGTATTCAGCCTATTTGGACTGGTAGGGCGGAAGACAGGGAGATCGACAGTAAGACAGTCTGTGCGTCTTATGGAGCAAATGTGTGGTTGATCGCTGGCTCCCTTTCCAGTCCCACCCCCTTGCCCAGGCCTCCATTGTTGAATGTTCTGCAGACGGAGACTGTTTGTTTCCCCAGTAACATGTGACTGGCTGATTAGATTATCTGTCTGGAAACTGTAGAAACTGCAGAACTGTGAGTTGAACCCCATAAAAACAGGATTTTTCCCCTTTGCAAAAGAAGCTGCACAACTTTGAGCTGATCCTCAAAAAAATGGGGCTTGCCCCCTTTCCTCCTCTAAAAACTAGGTGCGTCTTATGGTCAGGTGCATCTTATGGAGCAAAAATATGGTATTTCAGCTGCAGAAAAGAAAGACCAGGAGGGAGGTGTCCATAACGTAGCAGAATGAAGAAAGAACAGCAAGGCAAATTCTGTGGGGAAGGCCCTTAGCTCAGTGGCAGAGCATCTCCTTTGCACCAGAAGGTCCAGGTTCAATCCCTAACATCTCCAGGTAGGGCTGGGAGGGACCCTTCCTGAAATCCTGGAGAGATTCTCCCCAGTGTAGTCAATCCCCTGCTATCAAGCCAACTCAGTATAAGGCAGCTTCCTATGCTCTTTGACCCTGATCAGTCACTTATCAACCATTTGCTGTAACTCTTTGCTTTTGGCTAGCTGCACATGAAGGAGTTTGGGTTCACGTAAGGATCAGCATCTTTCAGAGACTTCCAAAATCCTGCCTCCTATTTTGGTTTTAAGAAAAACAACAACTAAGCAAAAGCCTGTTACTTGTGAACGATCTGAAGGCTATAAATAGCTGTAATTATCTTCCGCATACAGCCTGAGTGATGGAGAACATAAGAAACACAATTAATTATAGCAGAAACAAATCAACCCTCATATTTTTTTTATTTTTTAAGTTGACAATACAGTAGTACCTCGGGTTACATACGCTTCAGGTTACATACGCTTCAAGTTACAGACCCCGCTAATCCAGAAATAGTGCTTCAGGTTAAGAACTTTGCTTCAGGATGAGAACAGAAATTGTGCTCCGGCAGCACGGCGGCAGTGGGAGGCCCCATTAGCTAAAGTGGTGCTTCAGGTTAAGAACAGTTTCAGGTTAAGAACAGACCTCCAGAACGAATTAAGTTCTTAACCTGAGGTACCACTGTACTGTCATCCTGGTCATGGCCACCAGAGACCCCGTTTGCCCTTCTCATCCTGCATATTTGTAAATATAGTGAATATTGCAAATAAATAAATAAATCCATATGTCTCTAGTGATTTACACCTTCAAAAGAAGTCAGAATCTAGGTGACATTGTCCAGTACTCAACTCAGTGGTGGAGGGGCCAGGGCCCTCCAGACCCAATACATTTTATAGTGGTCTCCTTTTTTAGGGGGTATGGGAAGCCTGATTTGTATACAATTGAGGGGAGTCAGGAAGTTGGAGCTTGTGAGTCTTACAAAGTCTTTCCAGGCTCTTCCTCCATACTTGGATTGTTGCCATTCCCAAGGGCATTCTCAATGGTGACAATATTATTATTATTATTATTATTATTATTATTCATTTTTATTTACTATTAAATTTGTATACCTTCATCCAAATATCACAGGGTGGTTCACGACATAAAAATACAAAATGGGAACACAAAATACACAATAAAATGAAAACAAACCAATAACCCCCCTCCCCCCACAAACACATTTAAAAGACCATAGAATAGTCAATTCCTTTCACGAGCTGCAGAAAAGGGTTTCTTTTGAATTTCTCATTTCCCTAGAGTTGACCTCTATCGGGGGATGCCTTTGCCAGGGGAAAAGATAAGAGGTGGCAAACTTTAAAAATGCGATGCCAAAATGAAATCCTTCTCCTGGAGCTGACATTTAGATTTGGGCCTGGAATTCCATTCGGGAGCATCTGAAGAGTCAATCTGCTCTTGGCTCTTAATTGTTTTGCGTGCAGAATAAATTCCAGTGCAGGTCTGCTGCTTGAGTTGTTTTTAGATCTCAGGAGCATGATGGAAAGCATGACAGGATGTAAGAAAGCAGGAGATCATGAATGATGCATAAGGATGTCTGCAGTTCCTGAGCATTTCACCCTTAAAACTAGAACTCAGCTTTGTTTATTTCTCTGGGCCAAGCTAGACTGCAGTTGCCTTTTTTAAAGGTGCTTTTTTGCATACTTGAATGGTGTGACCCAGTGGATGTTGTAAAACAGATTAAAACACCTTTAATGAGGTAGGAAGGGATGCGGGTGGTGCTGTGGGTTAAACCACAGAGCCTAGGACTTGCCGATCAGAAGGTCGGTGGTTCGAATCCCCGCGATGGGGTGAGCTCCCGTTGTTCAGTCCCTGCTCCTGCCAACCTAGCAGTTCGAAAGCACGTCAAAGTGCAAGTAGATAAATAGGTACCGCTCCAGCGGGAAGGTAAATGGCGTTTCTGTGCGCTGCTCTGGTTCGCCAGAAGCAGCTTAGTCATGCTGGCCACATGACCCTCCCTTGGCCAATAAAGCAAGATGAGCGCCACAACCCCAGAGTCGGTCACGACTGGACCTAATGGTCAGGGGCCCCTTTACCTTTACTTTAATGAGGTAGGGTCTATCTGAAGCATAGCAAAAGCTGGGACCCAGGTTGGGTTGCAGTGCTGGGTGGGGGAACTTGGGGAGTAAGGATCAGTTTAACCTCTCTTGCAGCCAAACCAGGCATGGCACCACTCAAGCAATTTGCCATGGCATGAATGGTTTTCAAAGTAAATAGCAGCCACTTGGGGCTGGGGCTGTAGCCCTCCAGATGATGATGGACTACAGCCCTGCTGTCTGGAGCTGATGGGAGTTGGAGCCTAGCAGCCTCCAGGTTGGGGGTGTGTGTAGGTGTGTGTGTGTCACAGGCTCCCTATTGCTTCCATTGGAGGAGGAGATCTAGGCAGACTTGGTTAACGATGAGAGGGGCTCGGAATTAAAAATAAAACAAAATATAGAATTATTTCTTCATTGGCGAGGCTGAATCCAGAACATTTTCCACCCTCTCTCACCTTTTCTTCTGCCTTTATCTTAAGGTTGTGAGCTCAAAGTGTTTAGCACTCAAAGGGCCCACCTCCAGTAGAATAATAGAATCACAGAATTGTAGAGTTGGAAGGGACCCAAATGGTCATCTAGTTCAAACACCTGCAATACAGGAATCTCAGCTAAAGCATCCATGACAGATGGCCACCCAACCTCTGCTTAAAAGCCTCCAAGGAAGGAGAGTCCTCCACCTCCAAAAGGAGTCCATTCCACTGTCAAACAACTCTGTCAAAAACCTTTTCCTGGTGTTTAGCTGGAATCTCCTTTCTTGTAACTTGAAGCCATTGGTTCAAGTCCTACCCTCCACAACAGGAGAAAACAAGCTTGCTCCATCTTCCATACAACAGCTCTTGAGATATCTGAAGATGGCTATCACATCTCCTCTCAGTCTCCTCTTTTCCAGTAGTTAAAATGCCATTATTATGATTATTTTGCTATTATGCTTTGTATTATGTTTTTATTATTATGCTGCATAGACTATGTTTTTAATGTTGTACACCGCCCTGGGGTCTTTGGATAAAGGGTGGTATATAAATTGAATTAAGAACAATAACAAAGTAGTGCTTCCCGTCTTCTGTTATGTAGGAACTGGGTTGCTGCAAATTCTAATGGAACTCTCAATAGGAATGTTGCATTGGTACCTTAGGAATGGATGCTTCACCTGGAAGTAGCCTTTTAATCAGGTGTGAGGAACCTTTGGGCCTTCAGAAGCTGCTGAACTACATCTCATCATCCCTGACCAGTGGCCATGGTTGCTGGAGCTGATGAGTGTTGTACTTCAGCAAC